CGGATAATGGGGACGGATAATTTTTACCCGTTTATAAATGGGGCGGGGGCGGGTATGATGATATTCATACCTGCGGGTACCCATTTAATATTATTTCTTAAATATCCTAATTATCCTTGTACCACATAACTCTAAAACTACACTCTCTCATCTTATTTTCTTACAAAAGTGAGGTTGATGAAGTTACCGACATGTGTTAAGCATGTTATAAAATTATGTTAGATGTAATTTGATTAATTTTCTAGCTTTGATTGGACCAATAAGATTTATGTATTTTAAGTTTTTTACTTTCATTTAGAATTATGAGATTGAATTATTGTAGCTTTGTGATGAGACTTTAACTTATGAGATTGATGTATTTTAAGTTATTGATTATCTTGAATTTTTATTATTATTTCAACAAAATTAACGTTAAATAAAAGTTCAAAATTAACATTGAATTTTTATTTTTAATATTTCAATGACATTAAAATATAAACTTAAAATTATTTGTAATATAAATTCTTTAATTTCTTAAAAAATTTATAAATATCTATGGATATCCATGGGTATTCAAGAAATTCATGGATATCCGCTTAATAGATACCTGCGCGAAGGGTGGGTATGGGCGGGTTTACTATTACCCGCCCCCATAGGGCCCCATTGCCATCTCTAGTCTAAACCATAATTTTATATGATGTCAAATGATGATTGCATTACTTTTATTTCTTATATAAATTATTTATCATTTTTACAGAAACTAATTAAATTTTAGTAAAACTTTTTTTATTCGTCAAAATTACAATAACGGTATTAGAGTTTGAATCTAAGATCCTCTATATTCTACCACAATTTTACCACTAGGTTAGTTATATAGTGGTTCTAAATTTTAGTGTCACAAGCCTAAATTATTTATATGGATAATATGTAAAAAAAATTATGTATACAAGAACATTTTAAAATATTATTACAATATTATTTTTTAAAAAGTTAAAATGTTTTTTCATAAAGTTTAAAATTATAATATATATATATATTATTTAACTTTAACATTACAAAATTTTTCATTCTCTTTAATTTGGATTAATTTACTGTTTCTATTAAAACTTCTCTTGAAAATAATATTTTGGTTAAATTATAATTTTGATATCTTTATTTTTGTCAATCTAAAATTTTGATCCATCTATTTTAAAAATAAAAAACATTTAGTCTCCATATTTTTTTTTCAAATACAAAATTTTGATCCTCCCATTAATTTGATGTTCATTGATCGTTGGGTTTTGATTTTTTCTATTTACCTATCACTACTTAATTAACATGACATATAATGATATGACATGTAGGAATAAAAATTTAAAAATAACATACAAAATATCTTCGTTTATGCAAAGAAAAGAATGATATTATAATAGGGGGTTAAATAATATCAATAAAAAATTAACACTTTTTTAAAATAGTGAAGTAATATCTTAAACCTTAAGAGTATAAACAAAGAGAAAATAAAGAACACACAGTATTCTTATATCGGTTCATCTCAACAATGGAGATTACATCCAATTCTTAATTGGTCTGATCAAATTCCACTATGGCTTCAAGAACTAGATATTCTTTACAACAAAATCTTTTTAGACTTCAACTACCAAATATTCTTTACAATAAAATCTCTTCGAACTTCAAGTTATAACACAAAATAAAAGTTGGGTAATCACAATTATTTCATCTTATTCATAAGACGTGATACAACAATAATAAAGTACAAAGCTTTTTAAAGAATAAATTTTACAAAGAATATTTTCTTCTATGCGTATGTCTCTTTTGCTTCATTTTGAATATTCAATTTTTTTTATATAGGTGTTTGATGAAGATGACTGATGTAAATCCTTGAACTTCACTTATAGACTTGCTTTTTCTTTCTTCATCTTCTTTCCTTAATATAAAATAAAGTGTTCGTTAGTGCATTAAATACGTTTCATCAAAATACCACTTCTTATCTAATAAAGGAAATTACTTATCATCTTTGAGGTACAAAACATGAGAAACTATTGTATGTTAATCAAAAATGACTTTATCTGAAACTTTACACACCTCAAGATATTTGTTTGTCCTTTTCTATGATAAAAGACAATTTCTACTCCTTTATGATTTCCAAGTACCAAAAAAACTTTTATTCTTCAATGTGTTAAGTAATAACATAAACATAGATAATCTAGTTATCAAATATTATAAAATGATATGTTTAATGCATTTGTCTTAGACAAACAAAGTGATATGTTTGAAAGAATATAAGTCATACACACCATTAAAATAACGTTTTCTAATTTGTCTTTCTTATATGATCTTAAAAACATTTCTTTATCAAAAAAATTTCAAGTTTTTTTACATTAAAATTTATATTCCTAAAGCATCCAAAATCATCATTTGATATAATAATTTACATATATTTTAATGAATGATTGATATATTTATTTTATTAATAAATCTTATTCATATAATTTATTTTATTCTATTTTTATTTTTAAATATCACATCAACCTCCTATATACTAAACACATACCTCCATAACACATACCGCTATATTGAGCGAGGGGCTCTTTAGGGATTTTTCTTCGATTGAAGAATTTGTAGGATTTTTTTTAAATTATTATCTAATTTAATTTTTATTTGTGATAATTATTTATAAATTTTAATATTTTTAAAATAAATTATCAATAAATAAAAATAGTTTTGTGTTACAATGTAAATTATTTATCATAAATCTAAAATATAATTTATATCTTATAAAAATCTATTTATACAAGTTTTGAATATATATATATATATATATATATTTAAATATGTTATATATATATAATTTATTATAAATTTTAATTATATATAACAAACATGTTTGTACACTACACATGTTTAAGAGGATCAAAATTTCATATTTATAAAATTAGATATGACTAAATATTTCTATTTTAAAATAGAGGGATAAAAAATGCAAATTAGCGTAATGTTTGTTAATTAATATTTTGACAATTTTAAAGAGTTAAAAAAAAAGAACTGAATAGTATATTGAAAAGATTAAAATAATATATTTTATAAAAATAATTTTATTTTGAAAACTATAATAAACATACTAAGAATATTTATTATTCTTAAAATTTAATTAATTATTACATTTGAGAAAATGTTTCAAACACTTAGCTAATTATGTTACATGAGTCAACGAGTGTATTATAATTTTTTTTATGTTATTAAATCTTATGTACTGTCATAATCTGTAAGTTACTAGTCCTTTGTTTTATTTTTATTTTTATTTTTATTTTATTAAAATTTTAGTGGAATAATTGTTATTCACCTCCTATCTACAACTTATGTTAATTACAAATATTTTTTCTTTTTTAGCAGAACATTGTCCCTTTTATTTTTCTCAATTTTTATTCTTTTTATTTCTTTTAAAATTCTATTTTACTTTTATTATGTTTCTATGTGAAATCTATGATTTACTTTAGAAAAAAATTCTCAATTTGACTAATTAAAGAGAAATGTTTCAATGTCACATATACTGGTGATCATACTTATATTATTTTCGTATTACATTTTTATTTTCACCTCTATTTTATTTTTTAAAATAAAAATTTAATTATAATTTATAAAACTAATAATGTTAATTACAAGGAAATTATAAAAACAGAATGCTCAGTTTGGTTTATTCAGCGAAATTGAGACAGTTAAGAAAAAAATCACAGCTCATTTTAGTTTTTAATATAAAATTAGTTTACTGAGCCTATAAAAACAATTTATTTTAGTTTAAAAATCAAAATAAATATATATATATTTTTATATTTCGTATCAGTGTCCTTAAATTTTGTCTTAGGCTAATCTAAGATAAATAAAATTTGGTCTCATTTTTATTTATGATCAAACTCAGACAGTGTATAAACAAAATATTTACTTTAGTTCATTTTTCTAAATATTTTTTAAAAAATTCAGAACAACTTTATTTCTTGGATTGAACTATGAACAACCTAAATATCAATTCTTTAACATGCTTTGCCACTACTTTAAAGTATATAGTCTAAGAGTAAGGAAAATGTTGATACAACATTAAAAAACTATTTTTTAAACTAATTTTGTTTCAAAGTAATATTTTGATTTGATTCAAAATGTGTTTGATTATGTGCAATGCATAAGAAAAAATTTGAGTTAGAGTGATAAAAAGAAAAGTTTAATTAAGTTCGAGATATAGTTTTGGTTCAAACTTTGAGATGAACTCAACTTAAAAATAATTCAATTTAGTTAAGTTTAATTCATAACTATTTAGTCCTTTCATAATTTAGTTTAATAGTTTGAACACTCCTAATAGATATATGTTAAGCTTTACCGGTACCGATACTGTTAAAATTTTACTTCTTAAATACATATTTACATTTAATATGTATTTACATTTATGTATGCAAGATCATAAATAACTACCAACTTTTTAAAGAATTTTCAGTGAAAATAATGGTCACTTATCTAATAAAATGATATAAAACAGAAGAAAATCTAAATTCGATTCTAGATTAACTTGATCAAATCTGGTTTGACTTGTGTTTATTTCCTTCCATTTCATTGATTTTTTTTTATAAAATAAGTTAGTAATTGAATATTTAAGAATTTCCAGTGAAAATAATGGTCACTTACCTCATTCTTAACAGAAGTTCACATAAAATAATATAAAACACAAGAAAATCAATATTCGATTCTAGATTACCTTGATCAAATCTGGTCTGGCTTGTGTTTATTTCCTTCCATTCCATTATTTTTTTTAAAATAAGTTAGGAATTGACTCTATTCTTGAGTAGGTTTGTGACTCATCCTGATCTAAACTTTTACTTTGACAAATAAAATATTAAGCTGCAACAATTTCACTTGTTAAGAAGGAATTAAATCAGCAACTAACCCATTCTTCAGAAAATGTAGACAACCATATCTTGAGAAAACGCGAGTGAGTTCGTTTAGTTAGTTAATTAATTCACATACAAAATTAAAACACAAGAACAAGATATAATAAATTAAAAGCTAGCAATCTCATAGAAATCTATGGTCACACATCATGTTCAAGAAGTAGGCTTGACGACATTTGAGTCGTTTAAAATCCAAAGTTTCAGAAATATTATTCACCATGATATCTTTTGAAAACTTTCTCTAAAGTCCTTCAGTCTCCTCCTTATTTTAAAGGAATGAACTATGCAATCTACTCTTCTCACTAGTACTTCTCATAGCAACTTTTTTGTGTAAGTATCCAAACTACCATCATTTTCTCCTCATGCTACACCAATGTTCCAGTTCAACCACTTGCCAACACTTGCATCCTGCACCATACAGACCATTCATCTTTCAATTTTCTTTGTTGATTCTGTATTCTTGAATTAAATCAAAGATGTGATAAGAATTTTTAGTTTGCACCGTTCACTCATCAGATCATGAAAAGGGACATCATGAAAAATATTAAAAGGGAGGAGAAAATGGGAATGGGAAGAAAAAATACAGTTGAGAAAAATTAAATTGGACCAACTCATTGCAAAAACAACTAGCTTCTTCTTTGTAGCAGAATTTTGGCACTAGATCCTACTGGAGAGAGGGTGAAACACAACCACATGAGCTAAAATTTGGGCTAAATTTAGAAAAAAATTTGCAAATCTATGTTTGAAACAAAGTAAAGCATAATCAATCACATTCTTAGATGGTCTCACATGAATTTCACTACGTAATAAAAAGTCATTGAATAAGTGTTGCTATTCTCTACAAGCAAAGATCGAAATAGCAAGCTGTATTTCTAGTTTTCTACAAATCAGCTTGCATTAAACATGTTTCTAAGTAATGCTGTGAAACCAAGACAATGTACCAGCGCTAAGATCCTACAAGATCATGTTATATAAGTTTTCCATAACATTCATGTCATGTAATTTTTGCTAGTTTAACAAATAAGTAACACACGTTACCAAATGGCAAAGATTTGGTTTGATAAGCTAATAATTTTTTCAACAGTGACTAAATTTTGCCATCTTTAATTTTTTAATCACTGTCTCCAGTTTATTGATTCTCTGTTCAAGTTCCATTACTTTTGTTCCAGATGCACAACTAAAGCTTTCACCTTGAGTACCAGATAGGCTTCCTCTCTCACTGGAAAGCCTTGATTCTTTGCTCCCATTTGCATCTTCAAACTCTTCATCCAAACCCCCCATCAATTTTTCAACAGTATCTTTTGCAACTGGTTTTGTCAGTGGTGATATCCTTTCAACATTTTTGTAATCTGCAGTAGAGGCTGAAGAACTTTGATGGGACAAATTCTTACATTTATAAGTTTTAACAGAACTGTGAGTCATGCCACCATACTTATTTTCTTCCAAAACCTGTTTATGATTCTCAACAGAAATGCAAGGAGTCAGAGTATCATATTTTGAAGGAAAACTTGTTGGAATCTTAATATCAACATTTCCTTCATTGGCTTTCAAACCATCTTTAACAGAATTTTCAGATGGAACAGTTTTCAAATGTTCAGGAAGAAAACCAGAAGGTACAATGCCATCACTATTACCTTTCCTAGCATTTGAATCATCATCACCAGATTTTCCATAACACACAGTGCTAACATGTATGGGAGAAAAACCAGGTGGAACATCAGCATCGTTACCACTTTTGTTTGCTTTTGATACATGAGTCCTATGATGAGATGGCCTTGAACTTCTCTTTCGCCGCACAATATTCTTTGCAAAATCCTGATGACTCAAGACTGATTCCTTCCACCACTTTGCATACCTTGTGGTAACATCTCCTTCAAAAAGCCTAGCAGGAAAATACAAACTCCTATCAGATATTGGCCTGCAGTAATTTTTCCAAGCAATGGATTTAGTTCCACAGAATTTAGGCACACAATCTGGAACATCTTGATCCATTCCAAATTGCATAGCAACTCTATGTGGCAGGTACTGCTTTATTGTAGACTCAATTCCCACAAGCACAGAAACTCTCATGCATGTAACAAAAGAGATTAGTTCATCATCCAAATCTTTCTCAAATGGTACCAAAGTTTCATTCTCTGGATAAAACACCTTGAACTTCCCAACATATTGAACATAAGGGCGCCACCGAAAATGCTCCATAGCTGAGTCCAGTGTCAATCTCACATTGTCAACTTTCAATGGCTTAACCTTGTGCCACCTAAACAACATAGCCTCGTCATGGTTGATCAACCTGGGCTGTGGTTGCAAATTCTTGAATCTCTCCCACACCCAAATTTGGACCAAGTAAAAGGGTGACTGAAGAGTTACCTCCAACTGCAAATCATCACCTAGCACTAGTTTTTCTGTCAAACCAACTATTGTCTTCTTCAACAAAGTCAGATCCTTATATATGCTGGCCAAGACTGCTGGTCCCAAAGCAATGGTATTCCCTCTAGCAAGATGAACAGCAATAGGGAAAACAAACTTACCCACCAAGCCTTTAGGAGAAAAACCAATCATTGACAACCAAGTTGCAAGAAATGCTTCATGCTCAACTTCACTACCACTGTTGACAAAAAGATCAATCCATGCAGACAAAGAAGCCATACCTTTTTTCATCCTCCAAGGTTCTTGTCTTGCATGAATCAACTTCTTCTCCACCTCTCTCATTTCCTGGCTGTGAAGTGGGGTGAAGATAGGATCACCAACAACAGGGTAACCCCCCAACACCATCACATCCTCCAATGTGATTGTAGCCTCACCCCACGGAAACAACAAGGTGTTTGTCTCAGGACACCACTTCTCAGCAACCCCATAACACAAGTTTTGATCTTTCACTATGGAACACTTGGTGCTCATGATGGCTTCAAAGATTCCAACTTTCTTCCAAACTGACTCATACCTCACTTGAAGGGAATCCACCCATCCAACCCATTTCTGCTTTGTGTGGCGCCACCAGCTGAAATGGATCACCAAAGGCCACTCCTTTGGTTCAAACACCGGTGGCAATGGCATGGACAATGAAGATGAAAGGACCCCAGAAACTGCTCCATCAAGAGACTTTGCATGGGGCTTTAGGAAATAAGCACTTCTCAAAGATGGTTCACTGTCTCCAATTGGTGAAACCATGAAATCTTCCCTCACCTCCATCATGCACAACGTTGATTCTTGTTCCATGTTGAATACTTGACTCAAGAGTCAAGTGCTATAGTAGTGTAGAGAAAATATTGATGCAAATGATGTTGAAGCTGAAGCTTAGGAAAAAGAACCAAAATTGGTTAGTGTGAATATGTGCTGGTTTGACCGAGAAAATGGACACGTTATTGCTCATGTGTTTGCCGTGTGGAACTTTAACAGTAAGAAGTGTGCATGATAGTAGTGATTACTAGCTGTGACATGACAAAATAATTCATTTATATCTTATTCATTTCATTTATTTATAAGGAAATCTATTTAATTTATTTCTTATAATAAAAATAAATAATAGATTAAATTTAATTCTTTCATTTAATTTTATGATATCTATTCACTATTTTTTTAAAAATTTATTGGATTATAATATATGATATTTATTAAATTAATATTTTAAAAAATTATATAAATATAAAAAAATATTATAAAATTTTAAAAATTATATATAAAACCTATAGGCAGGCCTATTGGGTAGGCTAGCCCCAGGCACTAAATCAATTTGATGTTCTATTCCTCTTAAAGGAGGAAGGCCCATTGGATCCTCGGGAGGAAATAGATCATCAAATTCTTTTAAAAGAATTTTTAGCCCCTTAGGTAAAGTCTCATATCCATTAGATGTGGCAGTGCAAGTGAGAGTTCCTTTGCAAAGAAGGATATAAGAGGGTTGTTGAATCAAGAGGGTTTGTTTAGAAATTTCTTTCTCTTGAGCAACAACCTCTAGGGAGGGAACTCTTTTCTCCCTAGATTCCTCTTTATCCTTAGGTTTCATGGACTTTTTTTTTCTCTCTATTTTCTTATTTTTTTAAACCTTTTCTCACTCTCTCTTTTGAGTTTCATTTGTGCTTGATCCTCAGCCATCTGTTGAAGAGAAAGAGGATGAAGCACAAATTTCTTTTCTCTATGAGTAAAGGTGATCTCGTTAGTAAGGCCATTATGCATGGTTTTCTTATCAAATTGCCATGACCTTCCTAATAAGATATGACAATCTTCCATTGGTACTACATCACATAGCACCTCATCTTCATAATTCCCAATGGAAAGCTTGACCTTTACTTGTTGGTCAACTACTAGGTTACCATCCTCAATAAGCCAATGTAGTTGATGATGGCAAAACTAGGAGAAGTGGTAGGTGTTCTTCTCCTTGGATTCGCCTAGGCTTGGACCTCTTCTTTGGAGATGGATGAACGAATGGATGAACACTTGAATGGAGGATATTCTCGGATTGAAATGGCCTAAACTAAGGATGGAAGCATCCAAGCTTAAGCAATAAGAGATTGCTCACTTCAAAAGGTAGGAAACTAGGTGAGTTTCTAGGGTTTTGAAGGCACTCTCTCTCAAGGTGACTCTTGAAGAATTTAGCTGAATAATGGTTCAGAAAATTCAATATATCAAAAGTGTTTACAAAGAGTGAAGGAACAAGCACTTATAGGTCCTAGAAGCAAGCTAGGTGGCACCAAATTCACTAGCCAATATTGGAGCCAAAAATTCAAATTTCAAATGGAAATTTGAATTCAAATTCAAGGCTCCATGTGCTTAGTCCGTGAATATGGGGCTGCCATGCATCTAAATGTCATTTAGGGGACATTTGAAGTGTATTTGGAGCTGCACATGTTCAGCCATGCTTGGCAAGAAACATGTGATCCAAATGCATCTCAAATGACTACTAAATGAAACCTAGATTTTAGCTTCTTGGTCTATTTTAGTATTCCTTCAATATTCCTATGCTAATGGCCTAAATACAATGGCCAAACATATACAAACATTAGGAAATAATAAAAGAAACAAAATGAGCCCAATATTGGGTACCAAAAGCCCAAAGGCCCATGAAGCCCAAAACTAGGCCCAATAAGCCTATGGCCCAAAAATGCTACTCTATGTGGTCCAAAATACAAGACCAAAATATGTGAAACCTATACTAATATAATATGTACAAAATATAAGAAAAATGGATTTATCAAGAGATGGCCCATGTGAAGCTCAAATTGGGCCTTCCAGGCCCATCGGGCCCATTGGGCCTTGACTGGCCCAAACCTTCATGTCTAACCAATTCCTCTTGGCTCCTTCAATGTATCACCCCTTGCCTTCCTAGGCATGATTCCATCAATTCTCAAGAGAGAAGGGAAGCAATACCTGAGATTGGAAGATTTTTAGGCTCGCCTCTTCCATGCCTGGAATGGGAACGAAAGTATCGTCCTCGTCTTTGACCTTGTTAATTTGGGCATTAGCCATCAGTAGAGGACCCGTCTGGGTAGAGGTTGCAGTAGCCATGGTTGTGATAGGAGCCATGGTAGGAGATGTGGCAGTGGCTAGGACTGGAGAAGATGCAGAGGCAGTGGTTGGAGACACTATGGAAGCTACAGCGGCGAAAGTAGATGCAGCAGAGGAGGCCATGACGGTGATGATAGTAATAAAAGAAAGATAGTGCAGGAGGAAAATATGCAAGAGCTCCGGAAAAGAAAAGCCAAGAAGCAGAGAGTGAAACACTGACTTGGGCACGAAGGAAGGAAAAAGTAGAATGGTGAAAGTAGTTTCACTCTAGGGTAAAAACAAGGTTTTTAACGCATCATTGGGCCTGAGGTGAAACGGGCTTATCAAATTAATTCAAATTTTAATTTGAATATTCATAACAGCCGCCAAAACGTTTTCTCAAAAGATAAATGTATGGGATAGTATGAGCACGCGCCGTCAAGGAAATCAATGTCCCATCAAACGGTCATTTGCATTAAATGTGAGATAGGGGTAGGTTTTCATCGAAGCAATATAAAGTCACGCTATTCAAAGCCATTGGATAAAGAGTCAAGAATAACTCTTGATAGGAATTCGAATCTCGCTGACCAGTATGCACATCAAGATTGAATTCCTAGAGGGGCATTTGTTAGGGCCACTCGAAAACTCCATGGGTCGAAAAAAGCGTATGAGATCCCTTGAAAAACATTATAATGTCAACACTTACCAGTAACAAAGGTTCAAGGTCGAAAAAGAGTTTGTGATGGCATCCTTACTTGCATGAACTTGAGATGATGAGCAAGGAGGAGGACGCCTTCTCCAAGGATCAAGTTCTTCAAAGGTGGACCAAGGTTTTAGGGTGGATGATGATGGAATGGACGAAAATGAAGGTTGGGTAGAAGGTGTTTGAGGAAATTCTTGAGAATGGTACTCTAGGGTTGGCTCACTTCATGATGATGAAGGCCACTTCTAGGGTTGTTTCTCTCAAGGTGGAGATGGTAGGGTTTGGCCGAAAATAGCCAAGGGTGACTAAGGAAAGATATAAAGGCACTAAAGGCTCTCTTTATATTCAATATCCAAAGTATTTACAAGGTGTGGGGTGTTGGGTATTTATAGGAGGGGAGGCATCTAGGGTTGCATTTGGAGTAGGCAAATGCATTCCAAATGAAATGCAAATCTCCATCCAGAACGGCCTGTACTCCCTTCAGGACGCCCTGTACTCCATCCAGAACAGTCCGTACTACATTTAGAATGACCCGTTCTCAACTACGATTTACAGGACAATTTAGTAGTTTGGAATGGCCCGTTCCAGTTTGGGAATGGCCCGTTCTGGGCTACTAAATCACTCATATTGAGCTTTTGGGCCTTCTGAAATAACTTACTACGTTACAATTACATCTCATTAAAACTAATATTAATTAAGTTTTAAAACCTATAATTAATAAAATAATTATTTTGAGTTTAAATTTAAATTTAAAATAATTTCACAAATTAATTAAACTTTTGAAATATCTCAAACTATACAACATGTTTAACTATTAGGGTTAGCTATTTTTATAGATAAATTAGATATTTATTCATAAAGAAGTTGTTAATGGATGAATTGAATAAATTTTTTTATTTTAAATGAATTTGATTTTTATATAAATACTTGACAAATTTGAATAAATTAATAGATTATTTTTATCATATTTATTATAATTAATCTAAAAAATTATTGTCATTAATAAAATATTAAAAGCCTAGACTCTATTAATGTTGTTAATGGTGTCTATAAAAGTTTGATGTTGTTAATATTTTATCATCACAAAATTTTTTTTTAGTTTTTCTCTCTATTCTTACTCACAAATATAAACTCATCAATTTGTTATGCATTGTTTTATTTAAAAGGACATTCAGAAAGAGTACAACTAGACATAATGCATTTTTAAAAAACCAAAATGTCAATAGGATGAAAATTGAAGTGTAATAAATATGATTTTTTTTCTTTTTTCTAATACTTGTTTGAAATTTGCTCGTGCACCCTTCATTTTCCTCCGTTCATTCAAGATAAGGATAGAACCGATGCAATTGGACTTTAAATATATAGGATGTTTGCTCTATTAAAAATAAAGTTAAAGTTTGATTTATTATTATAATTTTTTTAGAATTGATCAATTTTTTAAAAATTTAATTCTATTAACTTATTTAAATGTTTATTTTATATTAATCTATTTAAATATGTATTTTATATTAACAATATTAAATAAATCAATAAATTTAATTTTTAAATAAATTAATAAATCTATTTTTAAATATATGTGCGAGTTTTTTTTTTAATTTTTGTAATAAAAAAATAGTTTACTCTATTATTATTAAAATTTAGGATTTAAAATAAAAATAAAAATAATATAAGAGGAACAACTCATGTATACTCACGTACAAGTGTAATGAAAATAATTTTATAAAAAAATTATAAATATTTTTTATATTATAATATATATATTTTATTATTTTATATAAATAAATAAATTGATTTATTAGACTTAATAAATTTCTTTTAAACCTAAATGAACACCCATTTCAAAAAAAAAAAAATGTAAAGTGGATACAGTGGAAGCTTTTAAGGGTAGTTTAAGCATTTCAGAAAAATGTTGAGTGCATGCGATAAAAAGACGGGTTCAGGAACCAAAAACTTGCATGTCTCGATAATGGGTTCGATTCAATTAATTGGGTCAAATAGTGTTCCAAAATTCACAAGAATTAATCTAAAAGGCGAGTTTGAACCTTTATTAGGCTGAATTTCATTTTTTTAAGCTTATCAAAATTTTGAGCCTTTCTTTTTTTTTTTTTTGGAAAATATTTTATGCACCTTCTCTTTTTAATAGATTTATGTTCCATTTTTAAAATTTTTTAATTCTTTAAATACTATTTTAATTTATTTTTTTAAAAATAATTTTTATTTAAAATAAAATATTTTTTCATTCACTTCTCTTCTTTGACTTTTTTCTTTCATTATTTTATTCTTTTTTGAATATTTTTCATTTTTATTTTTATTTTTTCTCTCTCTAATAGTTAGATAGTTATCGATTTATTTTTATTATTTTTTAAATCTTATTTTTTTACTGTTAATTTTAATATTTTTAAGTCTTAAATTTTTACTCTATATTCAATGTTGCATACATTGAAAGGTTATAAATTTTATAAAGATGTTACTTTAAAGGAATGACATGTCATTTCCAAATTTAGATTTAAATATACAATGTTAGGTTTTATTGATTAGAAATAATACATTTTTCTATTATTATTTTTATGCAATTATATTTTTTGGTCTTAAAATATACTTATGAAATGATGATTTTTTTTTCTTTTAAAATGTTTTTTTTTGAAAAGTAACTTTTGAAAAAATATATTTTTTTTTAAAAAGTATTTTTTAGAAATATATTTATACTCTTGGAGTTTGGGAGTACAAAACATAATTCTAAAATGTAATTTTTGAAAGAATAAATTTATTTATTTTTTAAAAAATATTTTTTGAAAATATTTTTTTCTCTTTCGAAAAGTATTTTATGAAAAGTGTATTTGGAGAATAAATAAAAACAAGTATGAAAATGGAAGATTTCTTATTATTTAATAGAAGTGTATTTAAAAATATTATCTATTTTTTAAGTCTAAATATATAAATGGGACTGCATTATCTATTGATTCATTTAAATTTCTTACTGTATTTATCTACTGATCCCACTTGCATTACTGGATTTTTAAGAAATTGGGCTTACATTTTAAATGTGACTCATTTAATTTTTCTACTGTATTTGTCCAAATGTTATAATTGCATTACTACATTTAAAATCAAATAGCCGACACAGAAAATACTATGATTTAAATATATAAAGAAAGAATTCAGACTTCAAATTTAGATTTTACATTTCAAATAAATGTCTTGTTCCAACCAATCACACAACCACAAGCTTCTATGTAGTCAAAACAAAAATGTAACATCACTTTAGTCAAATTTTCAAAAGTCAAAAAGAAAATTATTAGGGCATTTGAATTTTTAAACTATCCACCTGAAAAATGGATAAAGTTTCAAGCAACTTATACTATCAAGTCCAATGCTAGTATGCCAATTTTATTTGTAATTCAAATAAATCGATGTTTGTTAGTACTTTTATAGATACAACTTTATCTAAGATGTTGTTATAAACAATGTTAACAATCTCAGAAGTTATCTTGAGCTCCTGTGCAATCAAATGGAGCAAACTTAAAAGGGAAAAAAATAAAAGTAAAATTGTTAAAAAAAATCATAATCACTTCTCTAAAATCAACATCTAATATCTATGAGCAATTAAAACTACATGTTTTTCAGTTTTCATACACTTTTATAAAAGAGTTTCATGAAGCATTTCCACTCATCTCACTTAAAAAATGAGATAAAGAATGCTGCAAATTTTATCCAGTTAATGTTTAAATTGGGTTTAATAAAGACAAATTAAATCATGTAACGAACCCTTCAAGAGTTGACACAGTCCCATAAAAATAATAATAAAAAAAACTCCTCTTATTGAACTCAAGGAACTCAATTCAATTCAATTGAAGAAATTATTTCGTAATCTTAAATCCTATAATTTCTAACTAATTTCTACGTAATATTTTATTAAATGTAATTATTATTTTTTTAAAATTAAAAAACTTAAATACATTATATAGATATTTGATAATTCTAGATTATCTAATACTTTTTCGTCGAATTGATAGAATATTTTTCTATGTAGGAAAATGAGCTTAATTATTGTTGTGTACAGAACTATTTGGTTTTGCATGTAAGTGTTTGGTTTGTTATGTAAAAGGGGTTAGGTCCTCTTTGATTCCACGTCATTAAATAAATAAGTTTATTTGGTGATAAAATAAAATAAAATAAAATTGGATAACTGTTTTTTCTTTTCTTTTTAAGTGTGGAATTAGCTACCGAGGATTTAAAAATGACACATTTTTTATTTGACTTCAAGTTTATCTCTTCATGTAAAAGTGTCACTAGTGGAATTAGCTAGTGTTTTTTTTTTCTCAATTTTTTTACATCGATTATTGGGAATGTTCTACATAAATTTACGTTATTATAATTAACGTAAATTTACGTCTCTCTCATTAATATTAAAACTTTTTCTAACATAAAAAACTTAAAATAACAGACATAAATTACTCATTTTGTATTACTGTGTATTTGTGAAATGCAATATTAAAAATATTCAAGTATTAAGGGGGTTTAATATTACCTTCATAAAAAAAAAGTTATAGTATATGAATTTATTTTTTTGATTAATATTTTTATTTTATAATTTTAATTTTTTTAAATAATTATATATTTTTATTTTATATAAAATAGAAATATATTATTTTAATCATATTTTTTTATTAATATATTTTTATTTATAATTTCTTTATTAATAGAATATATATTTGTATGAAAAATATATAATTCTTTAAATTAATTTTATATATAATTATAAAATTATAGATCAAAGTGATAATATATATTAAAATATTCCACTTAATATTTTTTTTTAAAAAATATAGGTGAATTATAAGATGGTTAATTTATTAATCCACCAATTCATTAAAATAAGTCAACCTATTAATCTATTATTAAGTAAAATAAATTGCATTTTTCAACCTCTTTTTCTTCATAAATTAACGCTGTTTTGCGCGAAAATAAAAAAGTTGTAGGATCACCATTTTCTAATTTCTCATTTCACATTTCTTATATATATAACCAAACTAATTTCTACTCATTTCTTATTTTTTATCCGTTTTATTTCAATCAAATAGGTAAAAGTTATTATCTGCAGACTTTGTAATTAGGGACATTCAGGTGTGATGAATACTTAACTAATATTATTTCATTAATTAAAAAGAATGAGCATATAAGGATATGTATATTTTTAAAATCCTAAATTCAGTCATTATGAGTATGTCATGACAGTGGTTGGCATATTTGTCAACATTGTTGCTAACCATAACTTTTTGATTACTATTACAATTTGAAGTTATAATAAAATATTGTTAACTAAAGAGGATGACATATATTAAGTGAATCATCGATTTATTTAAGTTTACATTGATTTTAATAACAATAAAAAAGGTTAAATATGTTAATTATATTAATATTAAGTGTGGTGTTTTTTTATATGTGAGATCAACTTTTGAGAAAAAAAACCAGAAATCAAAGAATAAAACGTGCATCATGTCTCTTTGTAAAATAGAGAGAAGAAGAATTCTTTAAGAAAATGAGCATTTAACTTGGAGAATAAGTATTTTTTTATTTATCAATTTCTATGTATTTTAATTGATTCTTTCTCTTATTTGATTAGATATCCTTTTGAAAGTTTTATTGTATTGTTATCCATAATATTATGAGAAATTATTTTTAATAACCTTGATAACTTAAAAAAATTTATGGTGTATCCATTGATTATTATTAAAAGAATTTTTACTCATTTAAGTCCTGTAATTTTTTTTCTTACATTAAAATTTTTTCCACATTAAAACTTAATTTTTGTTGATTTCTATTTTATTATTTTATAGATCTTTTTAAAATTATCTTCTTACTTTCAGGGTTTATTATTATTATTATTATATATATATATATATATAAAAGAGATTTAGTTTTCTTTTCGTTTAATTATTGTTATTTATTATCTTTCCTAATATCATGCGACTACTTTTAGATGTGGAGGAAACATTGGGATGTTGACACACTCAGAATTGTTGTTGAACTTGAATGTTGAAAAGGCATATTAAAATACTAGGTAATTAGAATTCCGTAGAATTTTGCAGTACATATGTCATAACAAGTAGAAACTTATTGAACTAAGCACCCACACATTTGCACAGCAAGCAGAAAAAGATGAAACTGGAAGAGGAATAAGAAGCAGTAATTAAGAAGAAAAAAATGTGCGGTCTTGTCTCTTTTCGGGTCGAGGCAATGCCTCTAACAATAACAAGATCAACGTACAGTGGAATCTGGAGCAACGCATAGAAAGTGACGGGTAAGCAAGTAACAGCATAAACAGGAAACAAGGCGGTCCTGTACTCGTGGTTGAGCACAAAGCCCAATAAGCGAGGCAATGCTGAACACATGGAATGCAGGTTCTTCTTTGAATGTGGGTTTTCCCTTCTCGGTGCCGCCGGGGACGGAGCTCGAGGTCCCGAAGGCAGCTCCGGCGATCAGCCCCGCCACCACCGAACATGAGTTCGATAAATCCTTCAAGCTCTCTGAACACTTTTTCACTTTCTTCACGTGTTTCTCCTCAAACACTTCCCACCGACTTTTCTTATTTGAGTTCAATCTAAAATCCAAATTCTCTTGCACCAGATCTCTAATGTACTGCTTCACATATTCCATCATTCTATTATAGTCTCCACAATAGAAATTTATAGTAAACTACTCTTTTTTTTTTATTATTTTTTTATTCTCCTTCTTAAATAAATATACATGTTCATCTCTCTTACATAATGTTTGGTTAGAAAATATGTGAAAAATATATATTTTTTTTTATTTAATTTACGTTTTAGAAAAGATGGAGAGGGGAGAAAAGTAAAACTCTTCCTAATCCAATTTTATATTTCCTCCAATATTCGAGAGATTTTGAGAGGATGAAAGAAATTTTATCATATTTTTAATATAATATTTAAAATATTTTAATTTATATTATTAAATTTAAAATTATAAAATATAAAAGTAAATTTGTTTTTAAAATATTTTTTCTCCTTACGAATTAAATAAGAAAAAAATTAGGTACCTCTCTTTCCTTTTTTTTTAATCAAACAAATTTTTTGACTCCTCCCACTTCTCCTCCATTATATTACAAGTATTCCTCTTGAAGTTTTGTAAAATTACATTTACATTTTTTATTTTTTATTTTATTATTATTTTTTAATCTATTTTGTATATCTACACTAACTCACATTAATCATTTGATAAAATTATATTATATTAATACTTTTTAATTATTAAAAAAATTACATTAGAATCCTATGAAAGAGTTATGTGTTATTTTATGAAACTTGGAAGAATAACGGTGTAATTTACCCTTATTAATGTGCATACCTCGTACCACTTGATATCCAACATCATTTGCATGGCGGTACCAGCAATTTGCCAAGTTCTTTCATTGTTTGTTGTATCTGCGGCCAAGTGTAACACTGTGTTTTCAATGTTATCCAACTCCATAATAAGGCTTCCAAGGATTTCCTTATCCAAGTTCTTCCGCAACATCTCTATTACACTGAGTTGCCTATTTTTCACTGCCACTTGCAACACATTTTGATTTTCAGAGGTTTTTTCATGGATGACACTTGGTATTTTAGTTTGAAGTTCAAACACAATTTCCATAATGCCGTTTCTCGCTGCAATCAAAAATGCAGTCTCCTTTTCCTCATATGCTACTACAACATCCAATATATTTTCATGTCGTGGCTTCTGGCTTGTGCTAGCTGCACCCAACACTAACAATGAGACACTAAACTGTTTAGGATTTATTATAAACACAATAGATAGATGCTTTTGTCCATTATTAATATGTTTCTTCTCAATATTTATTTTTCTACGGCCTAATATCTTTGTACTTTAGTCCTCTATTATTCACTTTTGTAACAAAATCTAAAAATCTAACTTGTCAAAGTTGCACTCAATGGTTAAATTAAAGGTTGCTGGATTTGAAAAAAAAAACTTATATTCACAAATAATTAAGAAAATGTAATTATAGATAACAAAAATTGATATCTGAAAAACTAAAGTAAGAAAACGTATTAGGTAAATAAAAATAATAATTTCATCCGTAAAAATATAAATTAAGGATAATCATAATCCACTCAATGTTATAAGAAAGCAGTCTACAGGGTTTGCAATTTCATCGTAATTAACTCTTACTTTTATTAATAGAGTCGTTGTCTAATAAAAAAAATTATATTATATTCAATAAATAAATAAATAAATATATATATATATATATATATATATATTACTTTTTACAAGTTAGATGTGGTGTAAAATGTAAAAGTCAAAAGCATCCACTTGAATCACTTTGGTAACTATCTATTTATATCTTCCCATAGATTATAAATAAAAGAAAGTCAGAGAATCATCAGTAAAATAACTCAACTATATTCATTATAACTCCTAACAATACCACATCCTTTCTAAACTGTCTTTTTGTTACTATTCTTTATTGGTATCATCATGCATTTTTTCCTCCTTGTAAACATGCTCTAAGATTTATTGATCACATCACAAAGGTAATTTAAGAAAAATTAGAAAAGATACTAATTGCTTTAACCAAGAACAAGTTACAAATAGAGTTTCCTATATTAGTGAAGTCACGTCCAATGCCTCATTCCTAATAATTGAAGCATTCTTCCTTTTCTAGACACAACGTATCATTACACATCATATAACATGCCTTTCTTCCTTTTTTCATTTTGATTCCATATCAAACATATATTGCCAAAAATGCTTCATCGCCCTTTTGGGTAACATTATTTTCATATTTAACCATACTTAACATGTCATCCACACTTCCTTAACATTTTTGCTTGTAACCAACACATGTGGATATGTTTTCTATTGTATATGACAAAAATAACTCATTCGATCTTAACTATAAACTTGCATATTTCTCTTTCTAAGGTTATCTTTTGTTGGGATGTCTATTTTTAAAGACTTTCTAGACAAATTATAAAACCTTTGGTTGTGCTTTGATGTTTTGCAAATCAACAAACAATTTCTTTATTTGTCTCTCCTTTATTATACCATTATGAGTTGAGTTTACACTATATTTCCTCGATGTATCTTCCTCTCATAACCATGTATTTGCTCCTTCTTTTTGGACTTGCACACTTGAGACTAACATAATCAAATTATTGATCAAACTATTTTCCTATCCACATTGTTGTTTTCTTTATGTAAAATTCCATACACACTTGTCTTCCCAAGATTTTCCATTTGTTTTGAGATTAAGAACAATCTAGGATGCCTCTTGGCTAAACTTTTGCCACCCACCCATTTATCTATCTATAATCTTGTCTTTTTTTTCCTCCATTTTTACCCTCCAACTCATCATATTGTCAAACCACCATACTTGATTATCTTTTCCACACACTCATGTTAGGTCCCTTCACCAAGTGGATGCATCTTTAGTAACCTCCTCCTCCTCCAAACCTTGCAACCTACCATATTTTGTCTCTAAGACTTCACCCACACAATGTATTTTTTTTGATGAAATAAATTCCATCTCCAATTTAGCCAAGATTTCTTCTTTCAAGACTTTAATATCTTTTTTAATCCTAAACCACCATGATTCTTTAGGAAACATATATTGTTCCAACGTATCCGAGCAATCTTCATATATGACATCTATTTTCCAATAAAAAACCTCTTTGGATACTTGTTAAGTCCTCAAATTGTTGCATTTTGCCATGCTTTTAACTACTATTTTTGCCTTGTTTTTTTATCACAATTTTGGAAAACTTCACTTCTTTTGATTAAATATGCATCAAATAGGTGAAACAATGCAAAATAAAAAATTGATGCAAACAAAAGGCCAAAAAGATAAAAAAAAAAAAAAAAACACAGTTGAAGCATTATGCACGATTATGCTTTCTTGAAGCATGATTGTGCTTAACTAAAACACTCCATAAGCATGGAAGCATGACTGAACTTCTTAATATGCACGACCGTGCAAAAGTGATGCATGCTTAGAATCTATAGACGCATGCCCATGCTTGGAGACACTATCATATTGCTTGATATGCACGATCATACTTAGATGGTCGCCCTAGTATTTTTCCCCTATAAATAAGACTTTTCATAATAAATTTGGATGATCCAATTTTTAGTTTTTAGTTCAACATTATTTTTTTTCTTCTCTTATTGGTTATTGATTAGGGTTCTATATGAGTTTAAGACATGCCCGTGGAGAAGGATCCTCTTCTTCACATGAATTTTAGCAAGATGTTAGGATTTTCTCTTGTTATGTGTAACTAATCTCCTTATTCTAGGGTTATGATGTAAATTTTCCTTATGAACCCCTAATTGTGAATTAAGTGAAATTGTTGGATTGTTTTAGTATTTTAATCTTATCTCAATAATTAGTGGTGCATGATCAATTTCTATTAATTAAAGGAACTTTACAATGATCGAATTTGGAGAACTTACATGATCAAACTAATTTTTTCAATTTCCAATTAGATTAATTCTTTAATTAGTTTCTCTGTTCGTATATATGCCTTGCTTTGTGACATTACAATCAGTTTAGGGTTTTCACAAAGTAAGGACTGTTAATTTTCATGAATAAAAAGGCTAACAACTTGAGAAGTAAAATTGGCTGCAAGGGCTAGAATTCATGCAATTTACATTAGCAATAATCAGGGGACCAATGAAGTCACAACCCTAGAGCATTCTTAATCTTGAATCTTAATCTCTAATTTCTAAATTATCATTTTTTTTCATATTCTATCAAACCAAAATCTATTTCTTCAAAATACTAAAAATCACTATTAGATCGGTAATTGCTTGAATCTAGTTTTTTTGGATTCAATATCTGAACTCTATCCATTGATACTACTGCAATAATGTGCACTTGCCTAAAACACATTTTACACAAAAATACTCAATCCATTTAACCACCCTAATTGACATTTATTTTTTTTAAAAAAAAAAAGAGAGGACAAATAAAGGTGTGGTTGTAAGTATTGATTTTATTAAACATATTCTTATGGAAATTTAGAAATAATTACTTGTAACTCAATGAAAATAATTTAAGATACTTGTCAATTATAGGCCTCCATGTAGTCTCTCTCCTTGAATTAGTGCCAACGGATATCCCCAAATATACAAAAGAAGATGTTAAGACTTTATGATTCAACAAATATGTCACTTTCTCTCGATAGTTTGATCATCTACACCTACATCACCACACCTACTTTTGAAGAAATTAACCCTAAGACTTATTGTCAATTCAAAACACCTCATAATACTCTTTAAGATACGATGCCAATTCAAAACACCTACTTCTCCCTCTTCCATATGTTCTATATCTTATAAGTTCCTCCCAACAATTAGAATGTCAAGTAGCTCCATGTCTTCAATAAATAACTATCTGCTCTTTCCACTTTCATAAGTGCTCCTATTCCTGCCTTGTTTCACATGTTTTCACGTACCTTACATAATTAAAATCTGCTAATTGACACCGTATTTTCGTATTGCTATATTCTTTTCTTATTTTCTTCTCTTTCCACACCCTTCTTTTTTCTCAAATTCACAATTATGACATTTTCCCCACCTCCTTGAAGATCCCCTCCACTCCAATATACCCTTCACCCATAAAGTGGTTCACAAAATTTCAAATACCTCCTCATTCCCCATACACAATAATCCACCCACCAAGTTAGTTGTCGGATTCAATATACACTTCACTGCATCACCTCCCCCTATAACTTTACATTCACTTTCGCTAATTAATATCTCCGCATTTTGTTTCTTGATCAAGATTATTGTTTTCATTACGTTGAACTACAACAAAATTGATTATTATCGATAATTATTTAGTGACAATAAATTAATTACTTTTATTTTATTATTTAATAAAAATATTAATGATTAATATATAATGGTCACTAAAAATATATTTATATCATACTAAAATTTATTATTAGCGACAATTATTTATTTAGAAAAATTTAAGTCCTACATCGACCAGAAATAAGATAATTAAAGAGTATATAAATGGATGATAACTTTCATCTTATAAGTTTGTTTTGTAAGGTTAAGTTAAACCTATAACTTACTATTCTCAATTGTCCCTAAACTTGAGGGGGTGTATTGGGAAAAATTCAAATCACACATCGACTATTGATAAAATAATTAATTAGGAGATAAGACAATTAAAAAATATATAAGTAAAAGAGAAATCTCATCTTATAAGTCCCACATCGAGTAGAAAATAAAAAATGTAACAAAAAGTTATACACTTTTTTCTGACCATTATAAAGATTTTTACCGGCATTCAAAATAACTACTGCTAAATATTTTAGCGACACTGCATACAATGACAATTGTGAAAATGTCGCTAAAATATTTTGTAGCAATTTTTATTATCACTAAAAATCATATTAAATACCACTAAAAACCTATTTTGTTATAGTGTAGATGATGCGCTACAAATTAACCTTGTGACTTGGATCACCTTCTGTATGTTTGTAGTATCTGATATTGATTTTAGTCTTCATCTAAATTTAATATATTTTTAGTTTTTATGTTTATTTAAAGTGATATGATTTTTAGTCCCTTATTGAAGACTTAAAAATGCGTGTTTTTGGATAAATGGAGAGACTAAAAATATATTAAATTTTTATAGTAATTAAAAGTAACATATTAAAATATTTTGAGAGATAAAAAACATATTTTATCCAAACAATATTTACATGCAAATAGGACA